CTTAATTATTCCGAGTTCCCGCGCTTAATTGGCAGCGTGCCAATCGTGAGCACTGCCTAAGGACGACTGACTGCACTTGGGCGTTTTTCGCACGACCGAAAGTCAAACCGGTATGAATGCACCGCGCCGAGAGCCCTCTCGCGTCAATCATTGAAAGTGTTTGACGCGAACAAACCCCCGTCCCGGACATAAGGATTTAGGTCCACGAGCAAACCGGTCAGCGGGACAAGGTCGCGAAGGCAAGTTGCAAGACCAAATCTACAACCAACTAGGCCACCTTAAGCACCCCATCAGATCTTGCAACCCTAACCAGCGCCTCAAAAAATAGCCCTAATGTGGCAAGCCGGTGGGTCAGCCTCCACTGGATGCCCCTCCTGGGCATCGCAGCACTTTAACAAGTCCTGTACTGGACAGAAGTCCGACGACCTCTTTCAAACACCTATCTGTGCCCCTATGATTAGTTCCGCAATCCGACCGGATCAGCTCTGCATACAGCGACGCGACACGAAGCGGCCCCGAGCGGCCTCCTAAGCTTCAGTGCAGAGAGCACCCACAAATTCCACATGAACGTCGTCTGTGGAGAGCCGATCGAAACGCACAGATAGTCCCTAGTATGAATTTTCGACAAGTAGGCCTAGCCAGGCCACCCACCATATTATCATTTACTAAAATAGTGCGGCAGCTGATTTCAATCTGATAATCTCCAAACTAGCTAGCCTGTTAGACAAGTAGTCCTATGCTCATATTTCAACTAATTTTTCAAAAGCATCAATGTTCAACTACAGAATTAATTCAACCAAATTAATCACCGATGCGCATAGGTCAACTTGCAAATTAAACAAAACAATAACGTAAGGGACAGCCCTACTTCTTCGTAAAGCAAAATGATTAAACACTATCTATGTATATGTACATAATTTTTCAAATAGCGCGCCATTCAATTTCCTTTCAGCAAACAGACGCAACAATCAAATACAGTGATTAAATATATGTACAAAACACATGCAGTAGCATTTAAAGGAGTAGATTAAATTCAATTCTTTTAATTTAAACCGCTACAAATAGGAAAATTTCGCGGAAAGCCCAAAGCAATTTTTAATTTTAATTCAAGTATTTTTTGACTAAGTGCTCGACCAAACCAAATCTTATACCCCTTGACAGCGTGATTCAACGCTCCAGAGGGGCCCTAATCTTCCCACCACCAAGGGGAGGCCACATGGCGTGAACCCGAGATCGCTAAGAGTCGCCACTCGGGTTGTACGCCTTCACTGAGGCCGTCGGCAACAGAACATTTTGACAAGTGGACTGTTGACGGCTTAAGGCTCAGTGGAGGTGGCCGTGGTGGGAGCTAAGGCGGCAGCTAGCCAGGGCCGCCTCCATCAAATGGGGAACAGTGGTACACCAGTCGCGGCCACTCAGCTAACGGGAGTGAGAAGGGTCCAGCGGACCGATGAGTGGCCGTGAAGTTCCTCTCCACACGCTTAGGGGGGGTGATGAAACCCCCGCCCCTGGGGGAATTACCCCCCGACTGGTCGGACCCCTTTCAAACTTAGGGGCCTGATGGCTGGCCGGCGGGCGCCGAGAGTCGCCCGGCAGAGGGCGTGGCTGAGCGCCCCCGCCCGTGGGGGTCGAGGGCCTGGCAGAGCCCCGAGAGGAGACGCCGTTCGCACTCAGGCACAAAACGGCATGATGATTGCCCTGGCAATGCAGACAGGGCCGCCGATGCGGACAGTCTAGCTGGAGGTGTCCTCCCAAACATGAGCAGCACCAGCGGCGCTCCTTGGCGATAGTTCGCCTCGCTGGAACCGGCTTACATAATAATTTCGGGCACGACGTTACCCGGTGATCAGATGCTCGACAATAGGAGCAGGGGGGGGTTGACGACTACTTGCCTGGAGGATTCAGCCTCTCACTGGGCACGGCTCGTAAGTCGTCAACGGTGCCCGCCGCGTTCTCTATCTGCCGGCACTGCTCCTCCAAAAACCTCAGCAGGTCATAGAAGGGCGGAAGATAGGAGGCCTCGTCCCCGCCGTACCTCTCCTCAAAATGGATTCGAAAGTCGAGAGGTAGACGGGACAGCACGATGCGGAGCAACAAAAAAGCCCATTCGCCCACTGTTAAATCCAGCCGCCTCAACGTATCACAGGCCACCAAGACTGGATCCAACAGGTCCGGACGCAGTCTGGCCCGGTCACTAAGCAGCGGGAGGCTTAGAAGCTGCTTAACATGTTCGTCCGCAATTCGCCGGACGTTGGCGTATCTTCTGGCTAGGAGGTCCCGAGCAGTCTGGTAGGCGGCGTCCGACATTCTCAAGTGGCCGACGACGCCCAGGGCCTCCCCCTCCAGTGATGCCAGGAGGTACGCCATCTTTTGGCTCGGGGTCAGGTCACTCCGGGCGTCCACTAGGCTGTCGAAAAGACCAACGAAGGTCAGCCATTCGGAAAGGACCCCGGAGAACTTTGGCAGGTCCAGAGTTGGGAGTCGTCCCAACAGCTCCGGCTGAAGCTGCTTCAGAGAGGACTCGGACAAGTCACTCATCCGAGCTTCACGCGCCTCCTCGGCATGCCTGCCTTCAGCCTCGATCAACTCGTCCGTGAGCCACAAGAACTGCTCATAGTCCGCGAAGCAGGAGTCCAGGACTCCCTTCTCCACATCCGAATCCTCGAGCTCAGCGTAAGCCTCCTCCACTGCGGCCCTTCGAGCATCCACCTGCTCGAACCGCTTCATCAAGTTATGGACCCTATCCGGTCGACCTATCAAAGCATGGGCGTTTGTGGCCCAGCGTAGCTCAGTCCGCAAACAACAGATCAGTAGCTTGGGCGATGTCATCACTATTAAATGCAAATTACGACGCGGCTTGAGCACAGATTACAAAGATAACAAACAAAAAATACAACAAAAATTAACAGTTAATAAATGCAGTTCCTATCAAATCGCGTTGAATAGAAATTACACAAATACGAATTACTACGTATCAACCAAATACAAGTTAGCACAAAGAAAAGACACAAATCAAATTAACAAATAACAAATACTAGTGCGATCAAATCAAGTTAAATTCAAATTGCGCAAATACAATTACTACTCTTTAGTTCAAATACAAATTACAATATAAACGAAGATACACATCAAGGTCGATCACCAAAAAATGCCTAGCTCGGAAATCGACCCTTCGATAAGTAATCCACTACAACTATCCGACAACGATAATTAACCGATTACGTAAAAATCACCATCTACCTACATGACGTATATCTCTAGAAAAACTCCCGCTTGCGCAACCTAGGGCGCGGCTTTTAAAACTACCTACTAACCAAAAAAAAGGCAAGCAACAAACAACAAAGGGAAATAATTCTATTATTACGTACAAAAAAATATTTTTACGTATTACGGACGGGCGTGATTGTAGATACAAATTAAACCAATCAAACCAACGCTCCCTGCCACCAGAATTGTTTAATGTTTATCAAACACTATGGTCGGGATCGACCGGGAATCGAACCCGGAACCGCGCTCTGCTACCAGTTTGTTACGGCCTACGGCTGCTCCCTTAAAGGATCCAATCCTCAGGGGCCCATGAGCTGAAGACTTCCCGAACAGACGTAGGTCGGGCCTCAATGTGGCCACGTGGAATCTCTCGAATTACACTAAAATATATGGGGGAGCGTTCTATACTACGGCCAGTCGACCGGCAGAGGAATTAGGCGGAGCTTACTTACCTATATCCAAGGCGACTGGTCCCTCCGGAGTCGGTTAGGTCACATATGGTTGTGTAGTGAAAGGGAAATAAGTGATGTGATGTGTATCTGGGTGTGACTGATGGTGATTGAACCTAGACCTTGGCCGTCGGCAGCAGCCCGAGCGTCGACATCGCTCCAACTTGAGGGGCCTTCCGAGGTTGCCCACAGTCACTTTCTTCTTTCGTCACGTTGACAGTCAATTAACTCTATCGTACGATTAACTAACTTACAGAAGCCACTAACTATCGCTGGGTATAAGGTTAACTCACAAAACGCACACGGAGTTTACAGGATCAAAGGTCACTACCGTTTCGCGTTGCAACAGTTAGTTCTAGAATATCAGAGGCCGCACTAGCTAATATTGTCGAATGCACTTATACAGATTCTGAGTCGGACCCAATAAGTCCCGGGGAAGCTCTCCAGTAGGGATACGCGCCACAAAATTCCTAGACCGTATTTTTACTGTCCGCCCTTAATTATTCCGAGTTCCCGCGCTTAATTGGCAGCGTGCCAATCGTGAGCACTGCCTAAGGACGACTGACTGCACTTGGGCGTTTTTCGCACGACCGAAAGTCAAACCGGTATGAATGCACCGCGCCGAGAGCCCTCTCGCGTCAATCATTGAAAGTGTTTGGCGCGAACACCTATATTATGTAGTGCTCGGGACAGCGAAAAGGTTAATAATTATATACTAGTTTTCATATAATTATAATATATAGATAAATAATCTTATGGCAACTTAGGAACCAAAGAGTAAACCAATTCGAGTTTTGGCGGGAAATTGACCGGCGGCGGTTTGCTGCTCCTGTATTATTGTTTAAATAATGGTTTGAAGTGGACTTTGATATGTAAAAGTGTTGCGATTTTGTGTATTAAGTGTCTACGCATGTGAACTATTAGTGGAAACAGTGAAACAAGTGCTCTGATGGTGATGGATTCTCAAGATAAGCTGTTTGTTTGCATAGGCACCTTTAGATACCATCGCCAACTATCAGCTGTCTGCTGGATCAAGTTGCCGCCAAAATCTCCCAAGAACTGCACAATGTGACGCATCAACATATTGTGAAGCAGTATACTATGAAGGAGTGGGGAAATTACAATAAACCGAATAAAAATACTTAAGACTTGGCCTAAAGGTCTAGATACCAGGCCATAAACTCCAAAAAAAAAAAGTAAACCAATTCCATAAACTCCAAAAAAAAAACAAAAAGTAAACTAATTTGACAATTGACAACTCGTGGCAACTGGCAACATATGGTTGTTTATTTTCAGGTCAAGATCAAGTTCATCTTACTTTTTAAATTTTAATTTATTTGCTTTTGGAATTTGGACTCTGAACTTTACCTGTTGATATTTGATTACGTTTATTTTGTTAAATTTGTTAAGACACCTGTGTAATTACCTTAAAAGTTATGCATTCATTAAAACACCCTTATGTTTTTGTGCAAAGTAGCAGAAACCTTTTTGGTGAGTAAAATACTCAATAAACACTTCACTTCCTCATATCCTTTGATTTAAATAATGTTTTATTTCAGGCATATTTTCCAGATTATGTTCAGTAAATGCTGGAATTCCACAATACGAAACTTTAGCGGTATCCGTACCAAAAAAATATGTTTATCACGTCGAACTGAACCGGCCCAACAAACTTAATACATTCACTCCTAATATGTGGAAGTGAGTATTTTATAAAATAAAATTTGTTTCTAAGGGCTTATTTTTCAATCAAAAACAACTTAAAAATTAACTAATAGTTCAATTATTTCACTTTCATATTCAGTCAAGTCAAGTCAAATAATTTATTTTATGGATAACTTTCATTTGATGATTGAGAAATGAGCATTGCTTTAAAATATATGAAATGAGTTTTTGTCAGTAAACAACAGTTATTGATACTGGTCAATTAAAAAAGTATGTAATTATATTCTCTTTGGGTCAATTTGAGTTTGGTAAAAAAAATTATTCCTAATTTAAAATGTAATGAAAATCAAAGTGTATATTATCTGTCCTATACAGGAATGGCAAAATCTCTAAATCTAAAATGCTTGAAATCCAAATGTGAAAATGAAAATACACATTATTGTTTTAAATTAATCAGCTCTATGGAATAAAATATTTGATGACGTGAAGTCTGCTACACTGCTTTGGCTGTAATTGCTCTATAAATCTCAGAAATAAGAGGTGGCCAATGCCTAATGTTGTATAGGCTATGACTACTTACTTACTTTTATTTGATTGCTACAAAACATTAAAACCCCCCAGTTAACCTCATCATCATCATTACAGCCCTTCACAAGTCCACTGCTGAACATAGGCCTCCCCCAAGGAATCCCACCTGCATCCATCGACCTCCTGCATGTCTCACCAGGTCGTCACTCCATCTAGTGGGGGGGTTGCCCTACACTTCGCCTACCGGTAGGAGGCTGCCACTCGAGAACCTTACTTCTCCATCGGTTGTCGGTTCTTCGAGCTATATGGCCGGCCCACTGCCACTTCAGCTTACTAATCTGTTGGGCTATGTTGGTTACTCTGGTTCTACTGTGGATATCCCCATTTCTAAGTTTATCACGCAGAGAAACCCTGAGTATAGCTTTCTCCATAGCTCGCTGAGCGACCTTGAGCTTCCTCATACGGCCAGCAGTGAAGGACTACGTCTCAGATCCGTAAGTCATCACTGGCAACACGCACTGGTTGTACAATTTAACCTCAAAACATTAAAAAATTATTTTTACATATTTAGCATTCTATTGTTGTTGTGCTGTGCCCAAACATTTGAGAGACAACTGCAGCTTTGACTGAAAAAATTGGCATAATTATTATCTTGTATTCCCCTGTATCCTCTTCCGAAACTGGACTGATTTATTTTTCAAAGAAAGTATAAGGAACATTGTGGCTATGTGGTATGTTTTTATTTTTTGACGTTTGTATAATTTATTTGCTGAATGTTTAATAAAGGCTAGTTTTATACATAAATAATTAATGGAAAAACAAAGTCTAGGAATATGGCAGATAGAGATATAGATATTTTTGAAAAAAAAATATTTTTCTCAGTCAAATTATCCACGAAGAAAATAAAAGAATTATGTTTGTATAGACAATACACCGTCCCATTATCCTCCCAAGGTTAGCTTCCAGTAACAATATAACTATTCTAAATTCCAGAGAGTTTTCTACATGCTTCTCAGCTCTAAGTGACAATCAAGAGTGCAGAGTTGTTATATTATCAGGTCAAGGGAAACATTTTACTGCAGGTAAAGTCTATTTCAAAGTTCAATCTTGTCTCAGTTGGTCTGGTACTTGCATGTTTCATGTACATGTTGTGGCACTTTAACTGTTTTACTTGCCTAGCCTGTCACAAAAGGCAACTAATGGGATATTGCATAGTAATTTTTTAACTAAACCCACATTTTTGTCTAAATTGTATGTGGTAGAGCAACACTGCAGCTACATTATGGTTGTAACATGAATAGGTCAGCTCGACCGGGGAAAAACTACACTCTCACAGAATACCTGCGTAAAATAGCAGCTTAATGCTGCTGTGTTTTGTATGGTGAGTGTAGAGAACCGGATACCTTTTCTGCCGACTTCAAAAAAGGAGACGGTACTCAATTCGACTGTATGTTTTTTTAATGTGTGTTACCTCATAACTTTGTACTGGGTGAACCGATTTCGATTATTCTTTTTTTATATGAAAGCTGATAGTTCTCGTGTGGTCCCATATGAATTTGATCAAGGTCAGACCAATAGTTTTTGAGTTATTCTTAAATAACTTATATTGAAGTCGGCTGTACAAAATTTTTAATTTTTAATTATTACTGAACACGAAGCATTCTATCATAGTCCTCAAGGGTGACAACGCATCTGCATTTTCTTATCTTATCTTTTAAAAAACGTTACCCCCACAATAGGATTTTCTCCTGTCGTGGAGGCAGTTTGCAAACATAAATCGCACGAGGACAAACATCCAGACCCAGAACAATTATTTGTAGGCCATACAAATACTTGTTCCGTGCGGGATTCGAATCCGCGGCCTCCAGCGTAACAACTCATTGCTAAGCCACGGAGCCGTTAAATTGCCGTTGATTCTTAATCGAAGATAAATGTAGATATTTATGGGCCACAACATACACTTACCATCATGTGGACTGTGTGCTCGTTTGTCACTCCCATTATATATTAAAAAAAAATGTTGTCCAAAGAAATTGCACTTTGGACTCCTGCCTCCTTTGTGAAAAATGGTGATATGGTGAAGGACGAATCTTGTACTATTAATAAATATTGTACCAAATAGCTAAAATTCTATATTAATTATATTAAATTGAATTTGATAAATGTAAATATTTTTACAGGTATTGACCTCAATGGATTTGTGGAAAGTGCAAGCAAAGCCCATGAACTGAGTGATGTAGCAAGAAAAGCGCGATTCTTGTATAAGATGATAAAACAATACCAGGTACTAACAATAAGCCTTGATCATTATATTCTTTTTATCTCTTAATTTGTAGAACAAATTATAAAACAAATCAAATCCACCATTTAGTGTTCAGTATAAAAACATCATCATCATCATCATTACAGAGCTTCCAAAGGCCACTGCTGAACATAGATCTCCCTCAAGGAATGCCACAAAGCACGGTCCTGGGCCGTCATTTCATCTAGTGATGACCGCACTATACTTCGCCTAGTGGTACGAGGCTGCCACTCGAGAACCTGTCTTCGCCATCGGTTGTCGGTTATTTGAGCTACATGAGCTGGCCCATTGCCACTTCAGCTTATTAATCGGTTTGGTTATATTGGTTACTCTGGTTCTACTGTGGATATCCTTATTTCTAAATTTATCATGCAGTGAGACCCTCATAAAAATGAATGCATATAAAAATGAGATAACATTATTTTATGTAATCCACCTGCAAAATATGAAAATATTAGGGGAATATTTGCCATAGTTGCCAACATAGCAGCTATTTTATTATCATTGCATTCTTATCAGAAAAATTTGCTGATTCCCATCTCCTGTTGCAGTTTCTCTCTATCATTCCTTACAACACCGACTGGATGATATGAATAGAATTCTTCTTTGCTACCAGTACATGGCACAATCAATGTTAATTGTTTTATAATACTAATTAAAATTATTATTACAAATTAAAGTTATATACACAATTAGTATTTTATAGAAACCATCATACCAACTAATTGTTTCATGGATTAAGTGACTAATCCAAATAATAGAATATAATTGAATATATTTTATTCAGTATAGACATCGATCACTAATAAAAAAGTAGATGCACAATTCCATACAAAAGTTCTCTAAAACTGTCGCCAAATGTTTTGACATAATTCTAGTTGATGTAAATATACATTAATGTCAATTCAACCTTGCATTGCCTAAATTTGTATTGACAAAGCAACGTGCAAAAAGCAATAAAATTTTACGCCCGAGGCTCGTCGCTTGGACAAGGATAGTAGAGTCGAACTGCACAATATTTTTTGTTACTGTAATTTTAATTTTATAATTTTGTTAAACTTGTTTTAAATAATTGGTCTACTTAATAAAGCATATTCTATTCTATTCTATGGTGTAAATGTGTAATGGTTATATTATTACCTAAATGTAAATATGCTTTTGGATAGGGCACTACATTCATTTAATAATGAAAGTAATTGAAACAATCATAATTATTTTTTTTTATCTTGTGTAAAAATTTAAAGATATTGCTTGACATACAACTAAAATGTAAATATAAAAAATAAGTACACAAAGTTCTTGAAAAATCTAAGAATATTATTGTCCAAATTTTTGATGTAATGTTCATATTTACAGATGTTTAAAAAAACGGATAAGACTGAATAATTATAATGATTTCTTATATTTACGCGTTCACTACACATTTAAATAAAACTAGTTTTACGGTTTTTATCGCGTATATTAACTTATTTTATATTCCCGACGTTTCGAGTATTATAATATTTAGAGAAATAGTAAAGAACTCTCATTAAACAGAAAAAAAAATATAAAAATACTTTAATAATAAAAAAATAAAAAAACAACAGCGTCTCCACAAATGGAACAGAATCAACGCATATACCTCGAACAATGACGACTCATTTTATTAAGGATTTATTTAAAAAATACTTTTACGATGATTTCTTGACAAAATATCAGTATTTACAAATGAATATAATTTACAGTGATAACAATTAAATAATGTTAATATTAATACTTACCGAAAATATGAAATTCCATCCTTTTTTAGCGTCCTGGATGTGTGATTTTTACACTTTTTAAACGAGCATTGAGGCATGTTTACCGTCGGAGCATTCGAATGCTACTAGATTAAAAGTGCACCCATATGTTCGAGTGGTTGCACATTCGGTTACGCCATTTTTTGTCACTGATTGTGTATCTAGTTTTTTATTAGTGATCGATGAGTATAGATTACAAAAATATTTATTGAATGTCATTTGTGCTTTTACCACTGGTTTGGTAAAAACCTCTGTACTGGGAAGAACCAGCGAGAAACTCAGAGGAACTTTTTTTAAAACATTAACCTGCTATATAAAAATTAAGGTTTGTTTGTTCATATTTTATGTGCTGCCATACCTACCGTTCATCAGATTGCGGTAAAACTTTGCCAACTTATTGCTTGCACTTGCACGAAAGTTATAGGTATAGTAACTATTAACTTACAGTAGGTGGCGCGCGTATCGCACCGACAATTTTATTTGAAAGTTATATATATCATTTAACTTCAATAAATGTATTATCATTTCTAAATAAATAATATAGCTCTTCTGAATATAAAAAGATATTTCCACAATTATTTTTTGTATGGCAGCAACGCGCCGGGTACCAGCTAGTTTACAATGTGATATGTTGAAAAATTTAATATGAAACCATTTAGAAACAACATGCTAGCAATCACCTCATTCCCAAGGATTAATATCAATCAGGTACTCTTAAAAGTCTTGTAAGTAGTATAGTAGTAACCCTTAATAAACAATATTTGCTAAATATAGATAAGTCCTGCATAAAATTTTCTGGGACTTTGTTATAAAAGCATATACATTGCTCCATAAAGAAATTACAGACTGGAATTAAATATCTGCTATTACTAATTTGTTCTTTTTCTAACTTTCTAACTTTTTATAACTACGTGGTAAATGTGTTATAAAACACCCGCGACCAACTTCACATAATGAAGGCTACAGGTGCATGGACCCCCTGAGGACTAAGTTGACAACACCATCAGTAAAATCCATTACATGTCCACAACTGAACATACGCCTCTCCTTTTGATTGACAAGTTAAAATACCTCACTTCAAAATTTTTGCAAAGTAAGCAAAGATCTATTTTTATTGATATATTTTTACATGGTAGAGCTATGCTATATTGCTGGTATAGTTATAGCACGAATGGGTTGGTTTGACCGGGGAAGGACCACGCTCTCACAGAATACCTGCGTAAAATGGCAGCTTCACGCTGCTGTGTTTCTTACGGTGAGTGTAGAGAACCGGAGGCCCTTTTTACTGGAAACCAGACATTCCATCTTAGTCCTCACACGTAACAACGCATCTGCATATTGATTCGTAATGGAGGATAGATGTCTAAGGACCACAACAACCACTTAACATCAGTTGGACTGTGTGCTCGTTTGTTACCCTTATTTTATAAAAACAAAATCCAAATAATCCCCTAACCCTAGGAGGGAAGATATAGGTACCACCTACTAAAACCATTAATAATGAAAATGATTATTGTAATATCTTTTCAGGATGGAATTACTGCTTTAGAGAAGTGTGTAAAGCCAGTGCTTGCTGTGGTTCACAACGCCTGCGTGGGAGCAGGAGTCGATTTAATCACAGCTGCCGATGTTAGGTGAGACAATTGCTTGTCTTTATATGTATTACTTATATGTGTTTTAGAGCTATATTACAACTGTATTGTGCTTGTAGCACGAATAGGTCGGCTCGACAGTGGAAGGACAACGCTCATACAATACTAATGTAAAAAATAGCAGCTTATTGCTGCTGTGTTTTGTATGGTAAGTGTAAAGAACTGGAGACCACTATAACTGGAAATGAGGCATACCATCTTAGTACTCAGGGGTGAAAACACATCTACATTTTGATTCTTAACGGAGGGTAGATGTAGATTACTATAGGCCATAGTATCCACTTTCCATCAGGTAAACTGTGCGTACATGTGTCACCATTATTCTATAAAAAAAAAAATTATGAAATCACTTGACTAATACGCCTGAAGTCCTAATTGGAAACGCCAAGAAAATCAATATTTTCTGGGAATGATAGGATGAGTGAATATTCAGATGTTATAATGCCACAAGTAAACGTATTAACATAGAGACGCACAGTCATTTATTTACTGCATCAGAAGTAAACCGCTGCCATAGTTGCCATCCTTGGCAGATATAGCAATCCCAATTTTTATTTTATCTGGAAGGTGCCGCTGTCCATCTCCTGTTTTTCTTCTCTCTTTCGAATACACAATTTATACGTGGTAGAGCCATGCTGCACCTATATTAGTAGTATAGTTGTAGCACGAATGGGTCCGCTCGACCGGGGAAGGACCACGCTCTCACAGAATACCAGCGTAAAATAGCAGTTCAACGCTGCTGTGTTTCGTATGGTGGGTGTAGAGAACGGGAGACCCTTTTTACTGGAAAAGAGGCATTCTAACTTAGTCCTCACGGGTGACAACGCATCTGCATTTTGATTCGCAAACAAGGATAAATGTAGATAGATGTCTATGGATCACATCAACCACTTACCATCAGGTGTACTGTGTCCTCCTTTGTCACCCCGTTCGTATAAAAAAAAAAACAGGAAAATGAGCATAATATAACCAAAAGTTCAACAATTTGTTACTACATAACGTTGCCTTCCGGGCTTCTGGCTGAACTTCAATTGCAGAAAGAGTGATTTCTTAGAATATTAAATGACATATTTTTTATAATATTTATATAAATTTTAGGTACTGCACAGAGGAGGCATGGTTTCAAGTGAAAGAAGTTGATGTCGGTTTGGCCGCTGATGTTGGCACCCTACAGAGGTTACCGAAGGTAGTAAAAATATGTTATTCTATTTTGTGAAAATATATAATATGATATTAATCTTGTACTTCCATTGTAAAAATATCCACAACCCCATATCGTTCTGTGGGTGTCGTAAGAGGCAACATAGGGAAACTTAAACAGGAGATGGGCAGCAGCACCTTCCTGATAACAACTCCAAATTATGAAAAACTGTGATTGTCTATCCACCTGGCAAGCCTCGCAACTATGACAAAATCCCCCTCATGTGAACTGTTTAGCAGTGGACTTATATAGGCTGTATTTGAATAATATGTTATAGCTAAAAGCCGAAGTACAGTTACGTGCTTTTTACGTGGTAGAGCCATGCTGCAGCTATATTACTGGTATAGTTATAGCACGAATTGGTCGGCTCGACCGGGGAAGGACCACGCTCTCACAGAATACCCACGTAAAATAGCAGCTTAATGCTGGAAACGAAACTGGAAACGAGGCATTCCATCTTAGTCCTCAAGGGTGACAACGCATCTGCATTTTGATTCGTAGTCGAGGATAGATGTAGATGTCTATGGGCCACAGCAACCACTTACCATCAGGTGAACTGCGTGCTCGTTTGTCACCCTAATTTTATAAAAAAAAGTTACACCTTTGTAAAGCCGGCTACATCTAGGTATGATAATTATTATGTAGTACCACTAGCGATCCGCGCTGGCTTTGCACGGGTAATTTTTGAAACGCGACAACAATGTCGCCTACAGGGTCCAATAGTGAATCTACACCATCCACTCGAACACACAACGCTCATCAATATCGGTCCAGCCGTTTAGGAAGAAATCAATGACAAACACACATAGAAAAGAATTATAAGTATGAAATATATTTTTTTTAATTTTATGTCGAATTGTTGGACTTTATTTTCAGAAATTTTATCGTAAAATATACTTTTACTCAGGAAAGATTGTTTGAGTATAGGCATAATAATAATAATGAAATAAGTTAATTGAGGCTCTTCAGTACCCTAGTGCCCAACTATGGCAATAAAGTGCCTAAACAAATTAATTTCCAACTACCCGCAACTTCGTCCGCGTTGCTGTTGATATGTTAACAAAGTTTTCGTATGTGCGAAGGAAAAAACATCAAAAAGACAAAATATCTTTGTAAACAATGTTATTTTCGTTGGTCCGTTTGTAGCTAAAATATATAAATTATCTGGGTTAGTATCGCGAGCAAGCGACGTACAGTTGACCGTGTGAAAAACCCCGTATCAAAATCGTTGTTTTCTTAAAAGTTTAATAACTTTGTCAAATGAAGATATCGCAATATCTTTTTTTTTTATAAGGGCCAAGTGTCAAAGCAAATAAAACTTAAAAAACCTAATTGAAATCTATCCAGTAGTTTTTCCGTGATGCGCGCACAACTGCAACACTATCATTTTATTTATATAGATATTAGCAGGCCTGTCTCACTCCGCGCTTTAGGCATGAAAATAAACCTACGCTGCGCGCGCCTACGTGAGACGGCCTGAATTCCTCCTACGCTGACGTCGGTCGCGCGTACTAATGTACATTGTGTTCTATACAGCCCCACACTACGACGCTGACGACCGCGGCGCGTAGTTTGCTAAGTACGCGTACGCGACCGACCGTACATGACCGACGTCAGCGTAGGAGGAATTCAGGCCTAATTCCGTGAGGTTGTCACGCACACGCTCGATCTTACGCGCGCCTTGCGTTAACAAAAGAAGTATTTTCTCTTATAAGTATTTAGGCACTTTTGATATTAATTTTTGAGTTTTATTGTATGGTCTCTCAAAAAGACAAAATGTAGTGCATAGCATACGGGTGCTTAAATAACAATAAGAATGTCGACTTTTCATTCTTTGCTTTTTTTTATAGGATAAGGGTAACAAACGAGCACTCAGTCCACCTGATGGTAAGTGGTTGCTGCGGCCCATAGACATCTACATCTATCCTCTATTACAAATCAAAATGCAGATGCGTTGTCACCCGTGAGGACTAAGATGGAATGCCTCATTTCCAGTAAAAAGGGCCTCCGGCCACCTGCACTCATCAAGCGAAACGCAGAGGTAAACCTCTACTTCACGCTGGTATTCTGTGAGGTCGTGGTACCACTCCGGTTCGAGCCGGCCCATCCGTGCGACAGCAAAAGCCGCCACGTGGCTCTACCACCGTTAGATGTTCTAAAGATACCGAAAAGTAAGACATTATTATTTATAGGTAGATCTACATATTTATGTACCTAGTTACTGACGCCATAGTTACAGTTTTCTTATTTGATCAGCGACCCGACCACAGCTTCGCAGTTTTCGACTTTTTGCGTATAATGCCAATGATCTTAAAAAAAATCAGTGTAAGTAGACATCCCAGTACCAGTGACTGCCTACTAATACAAGATCAGCATATACTGGTTAGTTGTTTAACACTTGGTCGGTAAAAGAAAGAGATTGAAAATAGCAGCCCTTCTCATTGCCACTCTTTCATTACGAATGCCGTCGCGTGTCACATGTTTTTATATAGCAAAAATGTGAAACAGACAAGTGACTCCGTCACGCAGTGGCTTTGCAGTGAGTTGCAGCGTTAACGGCCGAGGGTTTGAATCCCGCACGGAACAAGTATTTGTATGACCTACAAATAGTTGTTCAGGGTATGTATGTATATTTAAAAAGAGAGGAAGAGAGACAAGTAATAAAAGTAAAAGGTTTATACAACCGACTTCAATATTAATACGCATTATTAAGGATAAATCCAAAACTACTGGTCAGATCTGTATCAAATTTACATGGGATATATAAATTATAAGCACCAGTTTCAAATAAAAAAAAATATCATTAAAATCGGTTCACCTAGAAAAAAGTTTTGAGGTAACACTTATCTGAGTTTCAAAGACGTGCACGTTGTTATAATTTTTTTTTTCGATGTTGCGTATTAACCTTCCTCACATTGAACAATAATGTTCCCTCGGTGTATTCTACTTCGCACGCGGACGTAAAGTGCATTTTGATTTAATAATAATTTTTTTTAAAACCGCATAATTTTTTTTCGACTTTATTATAATCGGTAGGAGGCTAATTTGACGAAGGTCGTGTTCGAGGCGTGCAAAGTATTATGAACATTAAGCGACGTTGTAATTAGTTTTAAACTCGCAAGTTTGCTATCAGAGAGTGATCCTTCTGTTCTTGTACTATTATTTATTTTTTGATATTAGTCAAGCTGTGGCCTCGGGGATTACAAGCTTGCCAAAAATTACATAGTGTGTGAGCAAGTTATATTATGTGGTAGAGCCACACTTCAGCTATATTATGACAGTATCACGAATAGTTCCGGTTCGACCGGGGAAAGGTCATGCTCTCTCCAGCATAAAATAGCAGCTTAATGCTGCTCTGCTTCGTATGGTGATTTCAGAGAACTGGAGACCTTTTACTGGAAACGAGGAATCCCGTCTGAGTTTTCAGGACAACGCATCTGCACTTTGATTCTAAATTGAGGATTGATATCTGTGGGCCACACCATCCACTTACCATCAGGTGGAGAAATAGTTAATTAGTTGCACTTCCGATGGTGTGGAATTTAATTTATAGTCTTTTAACAATCTTCTGTCATATATTTATATGTTATATTTAAATTTTCAGGTGATAGCCAGTGCATCCACCGCTCGCGAGTTATGTTTCACGGCAAGAAAACTGCAATCAAAAGAAGCATTGGAAATTGGACTTGTTAGTAAAGTGTTTGCAGATAAGGAGAGGTAAGTTGTTACTGATATAATTATTTGAATTATATGGTTAATTTTCTAAAATCGTTAACACTAGTAGAGAACTATATATAAATAAATTAATAATTATTAAAAAAAAACCCTCGAAGCAAAAAGAGCTGATAATCTCCAAACGGCTGAACTGGTTTTTTTGGAATATAGCTAAAAGAACACTCGATTAAAACATATTTCAAACGAGAAAAACTTAATCAAAATACACCTCTTTGTTTTCGTTAAGTGACATGACAGTCTGTAACATTGAGATATGATTGTGTGAGATATGATTAATGATATTGTGTCTATAAATATTAGAGTTGTGGTGAATATTAAGGCTGATTTTCACGGGGTCAGTAACAGCAACCATGCTGGCGCCGAGGACTGACTTGCACTGTTTACACGCAGTGAGTAGTCGTGGTAACTTCTTTAGGGTGTACGCACGTTATTGAAGACAGTAGACAAAAATTAATTCACGGAAACGGCAGAATTTACAACGATTATAAATAGTTGCTGAGAAAACGAAAAAATGTTAGAAGAGATATATAAAAAGACACGTCTTTGGATAAGAAAATAGATAGACGACAGAGAAGAAACTGGGGGTACTGCTTTGTTGTTAAATCAATTGAGATTTGAAGATCCCGCGGAATTCAAACTGACTTTGTGAATAACGCCGAAGAATTTTGACGAATTGCTTTCATTGATAACAAGCTCTGTTCAACGTCAAGATACATTCATGAGAGATGCTTTGCCAGCCAAAATAATACTCGAAATAACACTGACATTTTTGGCTTCAGGAATGTCGTTCTTGTCACATTTATTGTTTATCTAAACCATCTATTTCTTATTTAATACCAGAAGTATGCTGGGCAATTTATGCAGCTTTAAAATACAAATTAAGGTAAGATAGAGTTATTTATAAGGGATAATCAAATAATTTACAGTCAGGTAGAATCAAAATAGTTTTTGAATTTTCGAAAGCATGGTAAACTATGTTAGTATCATTGTTGCTTTCACGCCCAACTTCATCGTTATTCAAGGTTCTGTTACTGGCGGATGTAATGATTATTTGCTTAGGGTCTACATATCTAGGATTAATCGAAGTTCACTCGGGGGAATATAATTTTCAACAGTGGTAGAGCCACGCGGCAGCTTTTGCTGTCGCACGGATGGACCGGCTCGAACCGGGGAGGTATCACGACCTCACAAAAAACCAGCGTGAAGTAGAGGTTTACCTCTGCGTTTCGCTCGGTGAGTGCAGGTGGCCGGAGGCCCTTTTTACTGGAAATGAGGCATTCCATCTTAGTCCTCACGGGTGACAACGCATCTACATTTTGATTTGTAATAGAGGATAGATGTAGATGTCTATGGGCCGCAGCAATCACTTACCATCAGGTGGACTGTGTGCTCGTTTGTCACCCTTATCCTATAAAAAAAATCCCAAAGAGCTACTGCTTGAGGCATTCATGTGATTAGGCTCGGAGAGGTAAAATCCCAAGGAACTACATAACGTGGTCACTAGTCATGGAAACGTAAACGCTTGTTTACATTTCCATGACTATGTAATGCATTTTGATGAATATAAATTATATAATAATTAATATAAATAAATGTATCATGCTTGCTTTCAGTAATATAAAAAATGCCTTCATTTACCCTCATTTACAAACCAATATATTTTATAATTTTACTAGCTGGCCAGGCAGACGTCGTACTGTTCTGTTCGACGACCCTTTGTCCGATTTGATCATTAAATTTGCAATAAAAAATTGGGGGTCACTTATCGGCATAAAAACTATCCTATCTCTCAAGTTGGACCAAACTCCACACATTGTGAATTTCAGTTTTTCATTGAAATCAGTTCAGTAGCTTAGGAGTTCATCGCGTACAAACAATGTGACACGTAATTTTTATATATAAAGATGATACGACGCGATGTCACCCTACAATACTACGCCAGCGACTGACCAAGCACTGACTTGGTCGCTTAGACAAGGTTAATTCCGCTGGTGCGGTTGGCGGGGGGAGTGGACTAACTTCAAAATATTCAAGCAGGAATATTGAAGTCAGCACTGGCGCGACAATGCTGTACTGACTCCAAATTTAATTTACATTATGCCAGTGGCGGGTCAGCACTGACTTGCCTCGAATATGGAGTCAGTTACTGTCCCTGTGTAAATCAGCCATTAACTCGTTAATACTTCCGTGAGGGAATAGAGAATGCAACTGTGCTTGTACAATCACTCGAGCACTATAATCCTATAGTCTTTCGCAGAATATCAGTTTCAACGGAGACTAGCCGCCGTGACCAAAATACGTGCAGCAAAACATTATTATTACACTATACTTACTTACTTATCTTCACGCACAATCCCTGACGGGGTAGCCAGAGAGAACAGATCGCCAAGTGTCACGATCCTTACAAACCTCTTTCGCTTCTTTCAGATTATTTTTTTTCATTCATTATTTTATTCATTATCTTCTTCATGCATGCACGTCTAGGTATCCGAGTACTTTTGACCCTACCCTCTTCGAGCAATTTGCTCACATGGTCTTCGAAAGTTAGTCTCGGTCTACCTCGACACCTTTTAATATTAACTTTCGCGCTATATATTTTCTTCACCATTCGGTCTTCACTCATTCGCTCAACGTGCCCAAACCACCGAAGCACGCCCTTATCAATTTTTGTGATAAGGTCATCTTTCAAACCTGCCATATTGCGAATCTCTTCGTTTCGCTTTCGGTCGGCCATGGTATTTATTATTACACTATGACTTAATTTTCTCGTATCTCCATACAATTTCCAAAGAAGTTTCTTTTTAACCGCTCTTAAAAGGTATTTCAATTGACATGAATGTCATCTATCCTTATATTTTCTCGGTGGAATCGAATAACCGGATAACAAAAGGTTTATTTCAATCCAGCTGAATATACTCTTGACCTTTCTTCACTATTCAGAACATAATTGAATATTATACGTGGTAGAGCCATGCTGCAGCTATATTATAGTTGTAGCACGAATGGGTCGGCTTGACCGGGGAAGGACCACGCTCTCACAGAATACCAGCGTAAAATAGCAGTTTAACGCTGCTGTGTTTCGTATGGTGACTGTAGAGAACCGGAGACCCTTTTTACTGGAAACGAGGCATTCCATCTTAGTCCTCACGGATGACAACGCATCTGCATTTTGATTCTTAATCGAAGATAGATGTAGATGTCTATGGGCCACAGCAGCCACTTACCATCAGGTGGTCTGTGTGCTCGTTTGTCACCCTTATCCCATAAAAAAACATGCCAACTTTGCTTTCTATTCCAGTGCAATCCAACAAGTGCTGGAAGTTGCTGAAACCATCGCTGCCAAGAGTCCAGTGGCAGTGCAAGTCACCAAACAGTCGCTAGTGTATTCACAAAGCCGGCCTACGTCTGAAGGATTAGAACATATTGTAAGTATATTCTGATGTATCTATACATAGTTGTTGTAAGTTCTTTGACTGTTCCGGTGGTCTAGTGGTCTCAAGCGCGACTGCTGATGATGTGGTCCCGGGTTCGAATCCCGGGTCGGGCCAAAACCAGTGATTGGGTGTTTATAAAACTTCTCAGTAGTAACACGAAGTGTTGGTCCTTAGCCTGATCTCCGATATTTTCCGGCGTCTGTGTTTGTATACACACACTTATTCACCTTATAACGCTGTCCTGCGCATGTCAAAGTAAGACCGACTGCAGTGGTTGAAATTCGATCTGAAAGATATTATATAGTGGTCTTCATAGCCAAGAAATCACCTCGACCAGTTTTCACCCCTTTGTAATAACCACATTCTGACCAAACGGCTTGCTTCATTGTTCTTACAACAAAGGATTGTAATAATTTGCCAGCATTTACATCCAATTACAATGTGGACGTATTCAAGGCAAGGATGACTGTGCTTTTCAACCGACTTCAAAAAAGGAGGAGGTTCTCAATTTTGTTTATAGGATTGGGTGACAAACGAGCACACAGTCCACCTGATGGTAAGTGGTTGCTGTGACCCATCTACATCTATCCTCATTAAAGAATCGAAATGCAGATGCGTTGTCACCCGTGAGGACTAATATGGTATGTCTCTTTTCCAGTAAAAAGGGCCTCCGGTTCTCTACACTCACCATACGAAACACAGCAGTTTTAAGCTGCTATTTTACGCTGGTATTCTGTGAGACCGTGGTAGCCTTCCCCGGTCGAGCCGACCCGTTCGTGCTACAACTATACTACTAATATAGCTGCAGCGTGGCTCTACCACGTAGAAAATTCGACTGTATTTTTTGTATGAGTGTGTTACCTCAGAACTTTTTTATAGCTGAATCGATTTTGATGATTCTTTTTTTATTTGAAAGCTGGTGCTTCTCATGTGGTGTCATATAAATTTGATCAAGATCTGACCAGTAGTTTTTGAGTTATCTTCGACTACATTGATGATGTTCTCATTTTATTTATACTGTAGTCGGATGTACAAAATGTTTAATTTTACCACTTGTGTAAAACCAAGTCAGTGCGCTTTACCATCTTTGGCTGCATCATCACTTACCATCAGGTGGGATAGTAGTCATGCGTTGACTTTTGATAGTTTAAAAATGGTCTTTAGTTAGAGTATTGAGTGTTGTAGGGGGCGATTATACGAATATCTCAAAAAGATCCATAGCCTCCTATGGATGGTAGAACTGGCTCGTATACGCCCGACATATATACAGGTTGGTTACGGAGAGCAACAATATGACGTAAGTGGTTGCTGTGGCCAATAGACATCTACATTTATCCTCAATAAAGAATCAAACTGTAGATGCGTTGTCACCCGGGAGGGCTAAGATGGAATGCTTCTCTTCAAGTAAAAAGGGTCTCCGGTTCTCTACACGTGCTTTATAGCAACCAATAATTAAACGCGATAAAATCCGTAAGCACAGTTTGATGCAATTGAGGTTTAAGTTTATTTTAGTTTTAGTTTTTAAAATCTTTTAATATAATTTTCTTTTGACTAGCCTAACTTTAAGGGGGGGAACTGATTCCTGGAACACAGTTACACTAGCTCAGAGGCCAGGGAATCAATGAATCTGTGTAAAAATTTGGTTGGAACGAAGGTTCTTTCTTGGTATATTATTATCGATAAACGTAGCATATTATTGATTAACAAATACAAATAAATAAATTACTAGCGTCTATGCGATGGTAAGTGGTTGCTTTGATCCATAGACATCTACATCATTTTACGCTGGTATTCTGTGAGAGCGTGGTCCTTCCCCAGTCGAGCTGACCCGTTCGTGCCCCCATATATCAAGATTAGCAAGCAGACTTAGTTCTGCAGCATATTCTGTAAAAAAAGATCTGAAATCTTACCAGTGTGGAAACAGCTAGACTTGTTTACTTTCGCTATTTCCATAGCATAATGTCGTATTGTATTTTGCTATGGGGACACGTGATAGACACTGAAATTATATTTCTTTTACAGAGGAGGGCCATAAGAGCAATCTATGATTTAAAAACCTAAAAGTTTAAGGAACTTAATATATTAACGTTGGCCTCTCAATACATGTAATTTTACAAAAATAAGTGATATTCATTCTATAAATACTAGGAACAGACACGAGCTAGTAGTACCAGTTACACGACTCCACCGAGTTAGTAATTCATTCTTGGGGCGATGTATACGATTTAATAACAAAATCCCAGAAAATATACAAATTTTGACGTGCTCAAAGTTCAAAAACTTAATTAAACTAAGTTTTGAAGTTATACTTCTTTTGGAGTGTTTGGGGTAAATTATGAGAGTGAATTTTTTACGATGCGCGCGCACACCGACAGCTAAAAACGACACCATGAAGTTGTCACCCCGCTGAGGTCGGCCGCGAGCGTCCTTCAGATACCAGTCACCCACACCATCACACATACATCGAAATCGACATCGTTCACACTCGCCATCACCTCGATTCGCCTCGCTGAAGCTAAATGATTAATTTCATACCTAATAATTGTAATAAAATTATAATGGGAAGAAAATATCCCGGACGTCAGTCTGAGCGAGTTTAGAATGGCTCTCAAGCACCTTAAAAACGGCAAGTCCACGGGCGAGGATGGAATTACAGCGGAGCTTCTGAATGCGGGTGGAAAACCGGTACTTGAAGTCCTTCAGAAGCTCTTTAAGTCCGTTCTATGGTGACACTACTCCGAAGGCGTGGAGCACAAGTGTGGTGGTCTTGTTCTTCAAGAAAGGTGACAACGCTCTCTTGAAGAATTACAGACCGATTTCCCTTCTGAGCCGCGTCTACGTGCTGTTTTCGAGAGTCATTACGAATCGTCTCGCACGCGTAATCGACGACTTCCAGCCTCCCGAACAGTCCGATTTCCGAAAAGGCTTTAGCACCATAGACCATATACATACCCTTCGGCAAATAGTACATAAGACCGAAGAGTACTATTTGCCACTTTGTCTTGCCACATTTGGACTATGAGAAAGTCTTTGATTTCGTCGAAATTCGGGCGGTGCTACAGTCCCTTCAGCGGTGCCAAGTGGACTGTCGGTATATCGAAGTGGTGAAGTGTTTGTACAGTAGAGCTACGATGGCTATCAGAGTACAGAACCAAAGTACGAAACTTATCCAACTGCAGAGAGATGTAAGACAGGGTGACGTTATATCCCCGAAAGTCTTCACCGCTGCATTGGAAGACATTTTCAAGCTCCTGGACTGGAAAGGATGCGGTATTAACATCAATGGCGAGTACATCACTCACATTCGATTTGCCGACGATATAGTCCTTATGGCAGAGTCGATGGATACCTAAGCACTATGCTCAATAATGTCTCAATAGTGTCTCCCAACGGATAGGTCTTAAGATGAACATGGTCAAAACAAAATTCATGTTTAACGTTCATGTAACACCTATGCCAGTAGTTGTTGGGAGCACTAAGCCCGAAGTTGTTGATGAATATGTTTACCTGGGAAAAATAGCCCGACTAGGTAAGTCCAACTTCGACCAAGAGGTCAATTGACGGATTCAACTCGGCTGGGCAGTGTTCGGGAAATTACGGCACATCTCTTCAGGTATACCTCAAAACTTTTAAACGAACTTGTAAACGAGACTGTACAACCAGTGCGTATTGCCAGTAATGACCTATATTACTGAGACGTGGTCCTTCACTGCTGGCCGTATGAGGAAGCTCAAGGTCGCTCAACGAGCTATGGAGGCTATGCTTAGCGTTTCTCTGCGTGATAGACTTAAAACGAGGATATCCGCAGTAGAACCAGAGTAACCGACATAGTCCAAAGAATTAGTATGCTGAAGTGGCAATGGGCAACCGATGGGAAAAAAAGGTTCTCGAGTGGCAGCCTCGTACCGGCAGGCGAAGTGTAGGGCGTCCCCCACTAGATGGAGTGACGACCTGTTAAGACATGCAGGAAGTCAATGGATGCAGGTGGCTCTGGACCGTGTTTTGTGGAATTCCTTGGGGGAGGCCTAAGTTCAGCAGTGGACTTGTGAAGGGCTGTAATGATGATGATGATGATGATGAATTTTAAGCTAACGCTATAAAAAGTATGACGTCAAACCCTTAACCTCAACCCATAATTTTTCAGTCATGCAAACCCTGGTCGAAAGTAGTTCGAAATGATCCGGTGTAAATAAATAAATATTGATTGATAGACACACTACCCCTGCGTTCGTTTGCGATGGCTAACATTGCCGTGTTTATAGAGCATTAGTAAGTTAGGTCCGTATTAATAAAAGTTACTCAACGACGAACTCAAGTGCGTAATCATTTGATACGGTCTCATTACGATATCAGCATCTCAAGATCGTTGCCAATTAATAACCACATGAAAACAGTATCTCAAGACGCTGTACTTAGGAATACTGTTATGCGACTTGAGGCCTTGATCTCGTGAATGATTACGTCACACAGACCGAAGTTTAGAATATCATTCATCACGTTACGTTTTTGCTATATCGTGAGATTTATTGAATATTTTTATTTTGTTAAAACTTAAATAAATAGAGCTGTATTACGTTATAAAGTTGTTTTCTACTGTCGAAAACTTTAAATTTTAAAACTATTAGCTATGTATTTCTAAACACGAACTAAATAGAGATATGATGTTGGATGTTATCGCCCTGTTGCTTTGATTACTATATTTGCGAAAGTTTTTGAAAAAGTCTTATATAAACGTTTAAATAAATATCTTGAAGATAATAAGATACTCGTAAACGAACAAAAAGGATTTCGTAAAAATAAATCTGTAAACACGGCAATTTATGACGTGCTCAACAAAATTATGACTTGTATAGACAAAAAAATACCTGTAGCCGCGCTATACATGGACATGACTAAGGCTTTTGACTTTGTGGATCACAAAATATTAATAAGAAAATTACACCAATATGGATTGCGAGGGACAGTTTTAGATCTTTTTGATTCATATATTA